GAAACATAGAGACATAAAACTGATATATTTTTTTTTTGTTGCTCTCGTCGAGGCGATGCGAAATAAGTATGCAATGACCTTCACAGGTCAATTTCAAATTTGACCCGAGGTCAAGGTCAGGTCATCCATCAATGAGGTTGTGGGGCATGGTCATGCTGCAAACCAAACGACGCGCCTTGACCAGGCGAGCAGTTTGGTATCAGTTACAAGTCTTTAGCACCATCCTGTTGTGATTTATGGACAGAAAAACTATTTGTGACGTCACATGACCTCAGATGACCTTTCCCGGTGCCCCTGTCAATTAGCGGCACCAGGATCATCACCGATGAGATAATCTTCCATAACACTGAAAGATTTGGGTGGTTTCGACTCGTTTACACGAAGCAGGAGGCGTTTCAATATTTTCCCATAGCCTTGCAATGTAAAGGTCACGAGTCTGGCCTGACCTCAGGTCACAGATATAAAAATTCTGAGATATACAAATTGCACATACTGGTACCCTAACTAAAACCTGAAGAGAAGAAATTGGTCCGCCAAAAAAACTCTAGCTCTGGCGTGATTGCAAACTTTTCTGAGGTGGGGTCACCAAACCGCCTCTGGTGACCTGACCTGACCTGACCCGGCAACTTTTTTTTTGTCAAAATGTGCGCAATGAATGTTTAGGAAAAGTCACTAAGTATGAGCTTTCAGTCTTGCGGCGTTTGGCAATGGCACAAAAAAAAACCTGAAGGGGGGGGGGGGCCTTAAAGGCCCCCCGCCCGGAATAGGGTTTTAAAAGAAATAGCTCACTTTTAACATGGGGTCATGAACTGGAATAGCAGTTCCGTAGCATGAGCTGAGACGAGCACAAATCAGGAGCTTTTACGGCACAACGATCACCCTAGGCAAAGACATTCTATTTCTCGTCCCGAAAAAAGGTGCCTTGCTGAGGAGTGAGGAATGTGTACCTTGCAGGGGCCATTTCCTTTTTTAAACTGAATAGTTCTCCCCATATCAAAATATAAGGAGATATATTTTTTATAAAAAAAAAACTTGTTTGCTGATCATTTGAGGATAAAAAATCATAAGTCCATTGGAAAAACTAATTTCGTGAAAGTGAACTATTCCCTTTAAAAGGACCGGCACTGGTCTGAGTCGAGAGGGTCTTTCATCTGTCAGTCATACATTAACCCTCGCCAGGCGAGGGCCTTTTCCATAACATGGACGGCGAGCTGGGGGGGGGGGGGGGGGGTGGTACGACCCCTCTCGGCGATTGGCTCCTATGGCACTTAAAAACGCCAAATTTACAGAGTAGGTGGGTCCATAGGAGATCTCGCCCCTGTGAAAATTTGGTGGCTCTAAGTCAATATTTAGGGGGGGGGGGGGTATAAGTGCAAAAATATCGCTAAAACATGTCAAAAGTTTTTCGCGTATAACTTTTTATCTAGTAAAGATAGAGCAAAAATAAAGCAGCAGTGAACTGAGGATGTCCGTGCGCATCGAATGATATGCTTAGTAACCAATTTAAGTGAACTGAAAATGTTCTTAAAAATTAAGTGAATTCTTAAAGTTATTAATTAAGTTTAACTTAATCAAAATGCATCATGCCGCATATCATTCGAACCGCCTGATCACAAGGAACACAACGACACCGCTTTTGAAGCTCAAGCCTCATTGTGTGCCAAGTTATTAGCAAAAAAGTAGTTTGACCTTAGTTGACCTCACTTGACCCGACCCAAGCGTTCTTGTAGCTTGCAAACACCAAGTAGATGTAAATCAAGGTACTGGTAGTACAACACAAAAACGTTAAAAGAAAGCACAAATCTCTTATCTTGACACATTCGGGCAAATTTACTTAACCCGCGCCCTGATGGGGGGCCATTTTGGCCCCCCCCCCTGTGGTTTTTCTTAAATAGCGAGAAAACGGCGGCGCGCAGCGCCGCCAAATTTTGGGTACCTTACCGGGCATCAATTTAACACCTTCACACAAAATTTCAAGTCACAGGTCACCTCAGGTCAGGAGTTATTGAGGTCAAACTGAGGTCATGTTCGAGTAAAAATGAGCAAAAAACATGACATCTTGAAACGCTCACCAATTCTACAGTTAACAAGCAATTTTAAAGTTCTTTATGTGGTTGTGGAGAGAAAAGACGGCGCTACAACACTGCTATCTCCGATTTTCGAAATTTTGGGATTTTGACCCCCAAAAATAAAAAAATGATTTTTTTTAGAATAACTCAAAAAATTTCCAAAAATTTTCGAATTTCGAAAAAACCGGAATATATGTGATAGTCCCTGCGCTCTTCGATATACATACCAAATTTTAGATCGATACCTCTTTTTTGGCCAAGTTATAGCGAAAAAACTGTTAGAAATTGATGACGTCAAATTTTTGAACTCAATTTTTAGCAATTCTAGACCTCGTAGCGCAAAACAGAGACCACCATTGAACTCCCCGTGACGAGCTGCATCGAATCGATACCCATTTTATGTAAAAATATCAACTTTGAAATTTGACCTAATTTGACCTGACCTTGACCTGACCTTGACCTGACCTTGACCTGACCTTGACCTGACCTTGACCAAAACGTGACCTAAGCTGGCCCTTAAGTCTGTCTGACCCACATAATCGCATTTGTCATGTAAAATGGACCATAAAACATGCATCACACGACACTTTCATATTGTGACCCCCCAGTGACCTGACCTCTGTGACCTGACCTGGTATCATTGACCTCAAATAGCAAAATATGTGTTTGAAGAACATTTCCCCATTGATGATTTTCAATGAAATGCATTTTACTCGATTTTACAACGCATTTCTTGAAATGCCTGTAAACGGTGAAAATTCGACCTTTGACCTGACCTGTGACGTCATCGGTTTGACCGAGGTCAATAAAATTGGGTCACAAGGTAGTTCCCCGTTGGGGCTATCCAACACCGTTTACTGCTTGTCGCTATGTTGCGTGGTTCTCGAGATCTGAGGGGGGCCAAAATGCCCCCCCCCCCATCAGACCGCGTTGCTCGGCAGACCCCATCTGGGCGCGGGTTAAAAATTGTCATGACCTCTAGATGATCTCAGGACCCAGGTCAACCAAATTTGAAAATCTGGGATGCATATGATGGCACTCGGTGACCTTAGCATATCCTGCAATTTTGAATCAAATCGATGAAGAACTCTAGTTTCCATTAACAAAATAAGTGCATTTTCAGTGCCATTTTGACAATGTATCGGTTTTTGTGACCTTTTGACTTGACGTCAGGTTACTGGAACCTAAAACTCCCTGTTCAAGTGATAAATAGATGTCCCAAGTCGTGTCTGAAATTTGGTAGCGCTACGTGCCATAGCACCCACGCTATCAACGAATAACTCTCATTTAGTTGCCGTTAAACTAACTAGTCCAATTTTCCCCTGACCTTGTACCGTTTTTTTGTGACCTAGTGATCTGACCTGAAAAGACGGGAACTTGAAATTTTCAGGATCGGTGCAAAAAGGTTGCCCCAGAGGCTATATCAAATTTGGGCGGCGCTATGCGCCGCCGTTTTTACGTTATTTGCGAAAAACCTTAGGGGGAGTTGCATCACGTAAAGTAGTCTTGGCATCACTCCCCCCTCGCTTAGGGGCTCAAGACGATACCAGAAGGTCATGTTCCCGTTTGAAACGGTCCTCGTCAATTTAAGAGCCCGTTAGGGCATCTGAGGACTATATCATTTTTAGGCACTATTTCAAAAAGTTAAAACCCAAATTCAAAAAGCTTACGTTCAAAATGCACGTGAACGTCTTGAACTTGGTCTTTAACCCGCGCACCGACGGGGGGGGGGCGGATATCCGCCCCCCCCCCCCCTGAGGTTTTTCGCGAATAGCGGGCGAAATTTGGTATGACTATTCCCTCATCAATTTTACACATGGTGTGCAAGTTTGAACCTCCTACCTTTCAAGGTCAGGTCACCAGGTCACTTTGAATGACCCAACCTCAAGTCACTTTTTTGCAAATTTGTCACCGTGCCAGAGCTACAGTAGATGTCGGAGGCCTTTGAAAGTCGCAGGATGTTATTAGGTCATTAGTAGCTACAATTTGTATATCGCGGAATTTTGATATTGGTGACCTAAGGTCAGGTCAATTTCGCGACCTCCCCATTATAAGTCAATGGGGGAAAAATCAACTCCCTGTTTTTACCACTAAAACGGGTCGGAATGGCCCCATATACCATACATGACTTCATATACGATCAACCTTCACTACCTTGAGGTCAGTTTTGCTCTTGGGCAGCTGTAAGGTCATGTGACGTCATCAAAGGTCACCAAAGGTTTTTTGCCAATAACTCCGTACAGGAACAAGATACAGCCGCGCGGATGGTCTCATTGTGTTCAGCTCGTCAAGACGCATCAAATAATATACATGATGACCTCGAGGTCACGTGACCTGAGGTCAACCTTTGACCTTGACCTTTCGAGGTCAACATATATATATCATTCGATGCGGATTGACGAGAGGATTACGATGATGCCCTTAGTTTGTTCCTATCTTGACTAATTCGAAAGTTATTCGAGAAAAACTCTCTCCATATCTAGCGCCGCCATTTTGACTTTTTCGACCCCTGTGACGTCATCTTTGACCTGACCTGAAAATGACCTTAGTAAAAATTGTAGATCTTGACCGTGCGTATCCGATGCCGTTTACCGCTTGTCGCTATCTTGCTTCGTTCTCGAGATCTCAGGGGGGGCGGTCATCCGCCCCCCCCCCCGTCGGTGCGAAGTTGGCGCAGACCCCCGTCGGTGCGCGGGTTAACTTTTTGAAATTGCGCATAAAAAGGTGCAGAGATGCAAGACTGAATGGTCGAAATGATACATGAAATGGCACCCACGGCAGCGTTTTCTGAGTTTTGTTTATGTACATATCCTTTTGCCATTTATAGGACAATTATTACTTCATAAAGGATTTTTCTTGATATGGCAGCATGGAACTAAAAGGAGTTGTAAATGCTCCGAATTTGGTCATCGAAAATAGATGACCTTGGCTGAGAAACACAACACGGCGCGCGCCGGCCCCCCCCCCGCGTCATACACGTCCGCCAGCTCTGAAAGTTATAAAAGCCTTGTTCTGAAAATATATTCAGCAAGATATATTCAAATCCGAGTGCTTTTCGGGATTATTGTCCGTATATATATACAGTGTGGGATTGATACTGGTTGAACATGAATTAGTATTGACTGCAGCGAGATCATATCTGACTGGACAAGACTGAGACGGTTTCTTTGTATGGTTTCGGAAGCTCTTCAGAAGACTAGGTACCTATCGGATGTTTTTAATTATGATATTTGAATAAGATCCACATTGTGCAACACATGCAGGCATTTTCCAAGGCTATATAACTCCATTTCATCGTTTTTTATGGCTTTCTTCAAAGGCTTGCCAAAAACATTTTTACAAGATCATTCAGTATGTGACTTTCTTGTCTTTTATTTGGGTTAAGGGCTGCATGACGAATCTCATCATGTTTGATATATTTCAATGCACTATACCTGTGTAGTCAAATACCTAATGAACTTTGTTATTGTGTGGCAAATAGGTAGGTAATAAGAATTGTGATTATAAACATTCATTGCATTCCATCAAGGCTACCAATGGTTTTGTCACCTCTTAGGCCTTTAGACTTGTAAATATTGTATTAAGTACCTAGTTGCTTAAACAGAGACGCATTTGTTTCTGCTTTTTTGTGGGTTTAAAAGGTCACTCAAGACAGGAGTAATTGATAAGAAAATTGAAGTGCTAGATAAATGTGTTGTTTTGGAAGGTCTTCATTTGCCATCACTGGTTTGCAACATGTGGAAGTGATAATGCTTTGATCTTTTTTTCAGCTATGCTGCCGAGCAGTGGATACTTCAGGAGCCTGACCTGTCCATTCTTCAAGAGTGGGTTCTGTGAAAGACCACACTGTCACTTCCGGCATGTGGCAGAGCCAACTCCCTCCTCTTCTCAGCAACCTGCACCAAATGTCGAGCCAATACCAGGTACCTATTTAAATGGGATCATTATTAGAATAGTTTGGAATTTTAGCAATTTGGCAGTTGCATGAACATGCAGCTGAAAGCAATTTTAGTTTATTCCTCCAAGGACTTCATGCCTATAAAATATGCTGATCCATTTGCTCCTGCTGATGGCTTTTAAAATTGCATTGGTATTTTTATCATAATTTATATGAATAAAAAGTATCTGGACAATGCAATAATGGAGCATCTTCATGTTTTGTATCATAAAACAGGCCACTTTTGAATAATTTCACCATGCATAATAATTTGCAATATGAAATTCATATGAGTATGAATAATTGATAACATATGGCTCAACCTGTGTTCTTCCAGGAAACACAGTCACCCCAGCTGTGGCAGCCCCTGCCCCGGCGCCAGCCACCCCAGCTGCTGCCCTGCCCGTGGACAGCACTCTACTCCAGGAGATGGTGTCGCGTGCGGTGCGTGAGGCCCTGCAGAGCGGCGCCGCCGGCGCCCTCAACACGGACGCCATCGCGGCGAGTCTGAGCGCCGCTCCTCTGGCCCAACCTGCGCCCCAGCTGGAGCCGGAACCGGAGCCGGAGCCGGAGCCGGAACCGAAGCCGGAGCGACGGGCCCGCAAGCACCGCGTGTTCGCGATCCCCGCCTCTGTGTCGTACAAGCCCACTCCGCTACGAGACCTGGAGCGCCGCCGATCGACCGCCGAGCCGCGCTTCTCCGATGACGAGGATGACGGGCCAGACGAGACGCCAACGTCGGCAGCGACATTGGCGGCCGGCGCGGCAGGGGAGACCGCAAAGGAGTCGGAGACGAGCTTTAAGACCGCACAGGCCGCTGAGACTGCCCCAACTCCGGCGACGACGGCTGAGGAGAGTACCTCCAAGGAATCAGAGGAGTTTGACCTGCTGGAGCAAATCATGGCCGAGAGCAGCAAACCCATCCAGATGACGAGCACGCTGCGGCGCAGACTGCGCGCCCGTCCGGTGGTGTTTCGAGCGGCGGCGACGCGGGCGGACGGGGACGAGACGTACGAACCGGCGGGAGGGGAGCCGACGGATGCGGACTCCGCACCCGTCTACCGGCCCACGCGGAAGGCGGACTCTGCCGGGGATGGTGGCGGAAGCGTTGCGGGCGTTCCTGCCGCTGCGGAGAAGGGCACAGTTGCTGGGAGCGGTGCAGAGAAATCGAGTGGTGTTGAGTTGCAACGGAGTGCTGAGGGAAGGACAATCGCTGCTAGTGAGCCGGCTGGTGCATCGTGTGGTGTTACGAAAAGCGCTGACGTGGTTAGGGATCCCACTTCCGCTGCTTTACTCGATAGGCATTTAAATAGTGATAAGGATAAAGATGACTCAAAGCAGGTAAGTGTCAGTAGTGGTAACAGTGAATACTCATCTACGAACGGGTTTAGCGTTAGTTCAATGAAATCTGAGTCGGTGGTCGTGAAGCCGGACCCCGACGGTGCCGGGTCGACTGCTGACCGGGCGCTGACAGTGAACGGGTCTGCACCCTGCCCGTCGGAGCCCCCGACGAACGCGTTGGCAGCGCGGAAAAGGTCGCACACCTCCTCCGAGGGTGACGAGCGGCCCAGCAAGCGGCGGCACAGCGACTCAGGACGTGCGTCCGGGGAGCGTGACCGGTCCCGGAACGACAGCAAACACCGCGACAAACACCGGTCCTCCAAAGAACGGGACAAACACAGCTCCAAGGAACGGGACAAACACAAATCCAAGGAACGGGATAAGCATACTTCCAAAGAGCGAGACAAACACAGCTCTAAGGAACGGGACAAGCACAGCTCTAAGGAGCGAGAAAAGCATAGCTCGACCAAAGATCGCGATGGACACAAATTGTCTAAAGATCGTGACAGCCAAAAGTCATCCAAAGAAAGTGATAAACACAGCTCTTCGAAAGACAGAGACAAGCACAGATCGTCTTCCAAAGAGCGAGACAAGCGCAGCAGCTCGACGCATCACAAGTCTCACTCGAAGGACGGAGACAAGTCTAGATTGCGCTCATCAACAGAAGGTGATGGGAAGAGCGTTCACAGCTCCAAGTCACGGGAAGGGGAGAAATCAGACAGACATCGAGACAAGTCAAAGTCTAATCACAGTTCGTCTGGTGAGGAGAGGTCAAAGGACAAGGAACACCGCTTGTCATCTCACAGCCGCAAAGACAAGTCCAGCTCCTCCAAAGACCCCGACAAATCGAGTTCATCGAAAACCCGAGACGGAAAGTCCGGTCACAAGTCGTCCACTGGCGACAGTCACAGGTCCTCCTCCTCGGGCAGCAAGGAGATGAAGCGGTCATCCTCACGGGACGCTGGTCGGCCCGGCGAGCCTCCGACCAGGCCGGGTCCCTCCACTGACAGCCTGGCGGAGCCGGGCCCGTCCCAGCACGCGAAGAGCAGCTTCGACTCCACCGGCGGCCGCTCCGGGTCAGGTCAGTCATGGCGGCAGACGGGTTGAACATTTTTGGCTCACCTGCGCTCTATGGTTGAGTTTAGTGTAGCCTAGGTAGGATAATAATAATATATTTACTACACACACGACCCTAAGACTGCATAAATAAACAATTGTATAAATCCATTAATATTTATTCAGATGTGTTGCCACTGCTTATTGTGAGTTTTCTGCATGACCAAAGTCAATGGGCATTCTTCAATGAGACCATAATGCATTTATTATCTGACCTATCTGTATGCTGCTGGAATTCGCGTCCACCTAACCTGTCCTGATCCTCCTCTGGTCTCCAGGCTCCCCGCTGCCGGACCTCTCGGCGCTGGAGGAGCTCCCCGACATGTGGGAGTACCCGGAGGGCCTGCTGCAGCCGTCGGACGTCGACTCCGACTCGGACGGAGAAGACACGCTGGCAGAGTGCGAGCGGATGTTCAACGAGTACAAGGCGCCGGCCGACGGGCCGCAGCTGACCGCAGCGCTCAACAAGGTGGGTGATGGGGGGACAGCTGCGAGGGGGGGGGGCTCCGCGTTCAATCATGTAGGTGATGAGGGGCTGAGGAGCCGACTGGGGTGTGGCTGTGGCCACCAGCCTGTCTTGTCTCGGGGCGAGCTCTGTGTCGTTATGAAAACCGAAGAGGAATTTTTGATGATCGAAACTGGTATTCACCGGTTCATATGTGAAGTAATAAGTAATAACTATGTTTAAGCCATAAGAAGTTGTATTTAGGCCATGTCTTTACTTAAAAATGGAAGTGCGAAAATCCCCATCATTGTCGTTTACATAATCATATCTGTGAAGTGCTGCCACCCGGTGGCGAGAACTTCAAGGCATGTAGATGGCGCTTAATTTCAGCATCTATCCAGGGCTTCAGCACTAGGTTCTCTGAAAACAAGGCCGGGTACGTTTTGAGCTTCGAAACATTGTCTCTGTTATTTTATGGGAACTGTTGATGCAATGTCTCCTCGCATTCAAGAGCAAATGCCACACGCTGCTGAATCAGGAATGTCAATGTTTTTGTTCTGCTTTGGTGGCGTTCCATTTGGCTCAGAGTTCTGAGCCGGTCTGTTTATCAATGCGATCTCCTGCTGATGGCCAGCGTTTATTGATCTGAAGAGCTGAATGTTTCTCTTTGTGGCGTATTTTCAGACGTGTGGAGATGTTGGTTTCTTTTCATACTCTCTGTGCCTTTGAAGCAGGCTATTCATAACATCCGCGTATTCTTCGGGGCTGCGCGGTTTGTAAATGTTAATGTAATTTTAGCGACAAGCAATCCCGAGCGGAGAGAGGCGAATGGATGTTTCCGGGGGAAATTTTAAAGTAGTTAGTTAAAATGCTTCCGGTCGGAAATGCGGTGATAACACTGTTTCCTCACCTCTCCGCGGTGGCTAAGCTAAACTGGTTTCGGAGATTTAGCCAATGCAACAGTAGCTGAACCCGTTCCCTTCCCCCGGTGTATGGGTGATGGAGCTTTAATACGCGGCTGAACTCATGCGTCTTCATGTTGCTTTCCGTATCTACGTTACATGAAGTTGTAGTCGTCACCGTCTCTTTGGGGGGGGGGGGGGATAGGCTACATTGCGATAATGCATACCGATATCTCTTCGAGGTTCTTCACAAGAACTTCTATCCAATGGCTTAATGCCCTTTTCGCTTTACTACAAGCCATTTTTCTATGCTTCTTTGTGGCACTGCATCTACGCCGGTATGGTGTCGTTCTATTTCACCGTAAATTGCATGAACTATTCTACACTCCGTCTCTCTCCCACACACAAACCCGTCTCGATGTCATCCACAAATTACAGCTATAAGCTACCTGTACCAGAAACCTATTTTCTTACGTCGCATAAATGAGGACAATAAATCTGAAAATGAGTGACAAAATTGATGTGTGTAACCATTTTGTTACAAAAGCAAATAGTTTGTTGTTGGATTTTCCGAATTGTGATAAGGCTGAACTATCGGTTGGACTGTATTTTTAGCTCCTTATCCGGTTTCGGACTTCCTGCTCTGCGGTGTCCGGACCGCATCCACGCTGCCTTCCGGTGTCGGCCTGCAGTGTCCGGGCTATATCCCCTGCAGTCTGAATATTATCGTTCCACCACGGACCATCCCCCGGGCCCGGGCGGCGCGGCACTTTCCCGGTACCGAATGACGTGAACGGACCGGGCCCGGCCGCTGCGCAACAATCAGCTGATGATGACGTCACTGGCCAGTTCCCGAGACACGGCCAGAGATTGGCGGGCTCCATGCAACAACTTTGCCGATATGCCATTAACGTTAAAACAACTCCGAACCACCCAGTGCAACACTGCTTCCGGCCGATAAGCAGACTCGGATGTCATAGACATTCCCGATTACGACACCCATCACTAAATGATCAGTTGAGCACCTGCTTATCTAAACTGCAATTTACTTTACCGGATCTGGCACCCAGGCCTCGAGCAAAACCCTTCTGGCTAAAGGCACCACCCAAAATCGAATATCTTTTCTCTGGAAACAAATCAGACATCACACCAACAGAAATGCAGTCGAAATTTAACGAATACAAAGCACAGCGCCCAAACAAAACATTCATGTACACTGACGGCTCAAAACAGGAACACAAAGTAGCTTTTGCACTGACGACTCCACACTTTGAATTAAGCAGACGTTTACCGGATAACTTCTCCATTTTCACAGCTGAGGCCATGGCCCTCTTATTCGCCGTCAAATTATGTACCCATGAAAAGCTTAGTAACGTAGTAATCTGCACAGACTCAAAATCAGTCTTACAAGCCCTGAGTAACACCACAAGCCCAACCCATTTCATCATTTCTAGCATTCAAAATTCTATCCCTGAAAAACGAAATATTAAATTTCTTTGGATTCCTGGACATGCTTCTATCTCTGGAAACGAAAAGGCAGACAAACTAGCAAAGCAAGCATTGCATCTAGCAGAACCACTTGCAATACAGTACCCGGCAGACGACTGCAAGGCCATCCTCGAACTTCACATACAACAACTACGACAAACGACATGGGACGAGATAGGACCAGCACACATGCACTCAATCAAACCCCGATTAGGCTTCTGGGCGACCTCAAAACAAAACACAAGGCAAAAGGAAGTAATGCTCACCAGACTTAGAACCGGACGCACCAGACTCAACGCACCATGGCTAGAACCACAACAATATAACATTTGTGCCTTCTGCAATGTCAACACAGTGCCTACAGTTCAACACATCCTGCTAGAGTGCTCTCACTTCAACCTCCACCGACAACACATCATTGCCTTCTGTCGGCAGGAGAACGTAACGTTGAGCTTAGATCAGCTTTTAGGTGACAGACACCCAGAGCTATTAGCACTTCTCTTCAGATATTTACAAGACACTAAGCTAACAGGAGCACTCTAAAGCACACATAAACGAACAGTTAAGTGCCGTGCCCAACATCTCAACAGTAGACTTAGCGGTAATCACACTCGAGAATTCTCCTGGCTCCGCTGTGCGCTGGTCCAAGCTTGGTGCCAGTTACGCCGGCTGACACCCAGTACACCACTCAACCGTGCGCTGGTCCAAGCTTGGTGCTAGATACGCCGGCTGATACTCACTACACCACTCAGCCGGGCGCTAGTCCAAGCTTGGTGCGAGTTACGCCGGCCGACATTCACCTCACCACTCAGCCGTGCGCTGGTCCAAGCTTGGTGCCAGTCGCGCGCAGACAGGAGAGATTCAAAATTAAGAGAGGCCAACTGGTCTTCACCTCTTCAAAGTTGTTAAATGGCCATGCAGTCTTGTCCTTCAGACAATAATTATTTAGGCCCATGCACCACCCGGCATTGTAGGGTGAACGCGACACCCGGCGTGAGAGGGGGTGTGGGGATTGCCTCCTAACCCGCACGATAAAGAACCCATGGTGTAGTTCGTGAAGAGTAGGCCATGTGCCGGCACCATGGCAAAATTAATCCCAAATCGAATTTATTGTCTTGATGGAGGACAAAACGGTATCTTAACAACCCTTTAAAGTAACTATAACGTAAAACTAATTCTAACAGTAGGTAAAGTAAATCCCAGGATCCCACTCACCTCCCAAGAAACCCACAACGCGTTACCGAGCACTTTAAAGGTCAAAATTTTAGAACTCACACACTTAATTGAAGTAAATGAGCACTTGCAATATCAAAATTCAAGCAATTCGATATTTTTCTAGCAAACGATTCTTTACAGGCGGCCGAATGTCCAATGGACAGGGACGCCTTAAAACCTCATTTTCACTCACTCACTCGGGCGCCGTCAGATGGGTTGGAGGCAGGGATGCGGAGCCGGAGCCGGAGTCGGAGCCGGAGCCGCCGGAGCCGGCATATTTTGCCCGGAGCCGGAGCCGGAGCCGGAGCCGTGAAACAATATAGCCCGGAGCCGGAGCCGGAGCCGGAGCCGCCAAAAAAGGGGGCGACTCCGGCTCCTTTTTATTTTTTGAAGATGAAAAAAAAATAATTGACCTAGTTCGGTTTGACAGTACAAGGCAGTAAAACATATGGTACTTACGTCATGGGCCATCAAGTGAATGAAAAAATCCGAATATCCCCAGTATCCCACAGTACGCAAACAACTTCCTGTTTGCTCTTCCCCCCCCCCCCCCACGTCTACTGCATCCCCAGAACATGAGGGCCAGTCATCAGGTGACGGCCATTGTTTTCAAACGAGTGCAGTGGACTGCGACTCCCAGCACCGTCTCATCCCACACCCCCCCCCCCCCCAATGCAGCCGAGACGGGTGTCAGCTTACGATGGTTCACTGAACTCCGATTCGCGGCGACTGCGTTTCCAATGCCATCGCTTCCTAGCCCTTTGTTCTGCCAGTTCTCTCCGAGGTGCGTTTGCGCGGGGACGCGGTGAGCCGGTCATGGCAAAGAGTAACGCGTATAACCAATCCAATTTTTCTTCCACCCGTATTTAATTGATTGCGTAGGGGATGTACTGAGTCGGAGCCGGAGCCGCCGGAGCCGGAGCCGCCGGAGCCGGACCATTTTACTCGGAGCCGGAGCCGGAGCCGGAGCCGCCATAACATTTCACCCGGAGCCGGAGCCGGAGCCGGAGCCGATTTTTTTCTCCGGAGCCGGAGCCGGAGCCGGAGCCGTCTGAAATTTCCACGGCTCCGCATCCCTGGTTGGAGGCGTCATGATTCCGGGCAGTTCGTTCACCGCCCTGACCTGAATATGTAGGATTCTCATAGCTCGAAAGGTACGTTAGTATCCATGCAAGTACCTATTCATCATAGGAAACTAGGCTTCATACCGTGTTTTGCATGAACGCTTACTCAGCACCGGGGTCCCAGGAAACTCTTCAGAGTTCTGGCCATCTCTGATAGCTCATGCTTCAGTACTGCCCAATACCATTCTGCAGTTGGCACCATGATGGCATGGATGAGAAATGTAGATGTTTAATGAAAATTGTATGATGGGCGCAAAATGACCTTGTAGGTAGTCGGCGCGCCCTTAAGCCCCAATAAATAATAATAATGAAAATAGTATGAGTCATGAGAATAGTACTATTTAGTGAGCAAAGAATGGATGTGAATAAAAATTCTTATCTATGACCATGATGAGATCATCTGTCATGTGACCAAGCACTGTAATGTAACTAATGACCGCTGGCTGGCGGCCTCTGGCTAGACAGGGTACAGGGCACTGGGGCCGCTGGGTAGGGCAGTCAGCTTTTGGTTGTGCCTGGCTGGAGATCACGTTCACAGTATAGGCCCCAGTGAATGTTTTGCACGGAAATGACATCATGCTTGGAAGCTGAGCGGCGGTTATCGTCACTATATCGTGACATGGTCGATTGTTCGTCGGTCCAAACTCGCCTGACGTGAGTCCTGTTCAGAAGTAACGTCTGCAACAAGCTAAACAATGGAAAAGCTCCATGTCTGAAATGCCGCGAAACCAAAGAGGACTCTTTGTTGTAAAAATGAGGGATTGACGTCATTCCATGACATTCGATAGTAATGCCATGGCCATTGGTAATTGAAGTTGAAATTTTTCATTTGAAATTTTGTTTTTGGTTGCGCAGTGCTTAGATCTGCACTACTGCATGGCGTCAGAGTATTTACTTGTAGAGGGCAGCTGCTGCGTCATGATTCATGCAAACAAAACTGACTGGGTTTAAACCACAATGCCTGATACCAAAGTCGTCACTGCCGCTCCTGCACGATTTTCATTCGTCATTGATGCCAATTGCCAGGAGAGCGCAACTTTCCGACAGCCATATTCTCCTCTCTCTCTCTCTCTCTCTCTCTCTCTCTCTCTCTCTCTCTCTCTCTCTCTCTCTCTCTCTCTCTCTCTCTCTCTCTCTCTCTCTCTCTCTCTCTCTCTCTCTCTCTCTCTCTCTCTCTCTCTCTCTCTCTCGCTCTCTCTCTCGCTCTCTCTCTCGCTCTCTCTCTCTCTCTCTCTCTCTCTCTCTCTCTCTCTCTCTCTCTCTCTCTCTCTCTCTCTCTCTCTCTCTCTCTCTCTCTTTCCTTATCTTCCTCCATCCCTCTTTCCGCCCTCTTTCTTTATCCACCTATCACCGAGCCCACTCGAGCCCTAGCCGTCCTATTTCAATCCTGTTTGATATCCGTGAGCCACCAGCACCGTCAACCGTGAGTCGTGACTATGCCGTGAGTTGTATGTGTGCATGTAGGTGCACCTGGTCCGGGCGGTCCGGAATGCCGGTGCACTGTCAGCGCAGCAGTGACGCCGCCGGGATATCCCGTCCCGCCCTGTCCCACCGCAGGACTCTGTGGGACGTCCACGGCACCGCAGGGGCTGACCTTGGCGAGAGGGGTAGACACGATCATGGGCAGGTGTGCGATGTGCTGTGTGGGTTGACCATTGGCTGCAGAGGGGATTGCCGAAGTTGAGTGAAATGTGGCAGCGTCAGGCAAATTTACCCCGACAGGCTCTTGGTAGGGACAGGGGCATGTGAAGTAATGTGTCGAGTACGGGTGTTTTGAGGCTTTTCTGTTCAGGATTTTACCGAACCGAGAGGAGGTCCAACATGATCGCATAATGACCTCACAGTTGACGCGTCCCTAAGCTCAAACAAAGAAACAAACAATGAGCTTAGCTGGTACAGGATGAGCTCAGGCGGGTGCTACGCCATGACGACAATATATTTACTAACGCTGACTCCAACCACTAGCGTCACAGCCGCGTCATTGCATGCACCTATGAACTACTTTTGCGTAAACATTGGCCAAAGGGTGTGGCACGGCTGAGCGTCGGAACCAGCAAAATAATTAATGACCGTCTTGTGACTCAGTGGGGCTGAGCGTATCTCTCACTGCCATTGAGTTGACGCAATGGTTGCTCGCCGCGCTTACCGGTACATCCTGGTCGGGTTTCCCGACCGGGACATCCTGTGCAGCCGTATGCATCGCTGGTTCCATCACGGGATCTCCCTGAAGGCAAAACGTGCAACAAGTCGGCGTTACACATTCAGACGTTATTTTGCCCGGGCCTTTGGTCCTCATCTTATTGCTATCGTAACTGGTCTACCATTCTATGCACTGTTTTGTTCATTAGGTATCTCGGTAGCCTGTGATTTCCCGTCCACCGTCACGCCGTACTGTGTATTTTCGGTCCGGAACTGGACGATATTCTGTCCTTGCGGTGAAGTTTACGGAGTTCGGTGACCCATCGAATGTCGCATCATCGATCATTGTCCGTCATGGCTGGCTAGCTGCACATATCGCTCCAGTTAACTCTAGTCTGTCCCTATTACCGACCCGGCCTAACCTGACCTGCCCTCTTCCCCACAGGCTCGAGCGCTGCAGGAGAAGGCCGCCAAGGAGGCCGAAAAGTCCAGTACGGAGGTGGTGGGGAAGAAGCGAGTGGCACACACGGCCGGCCTTGACCAGCCGAGCCGGCCGGCGCCCCGCGTGGCCCCCAAGGTGACACCAGCTCAGGTCAGTGCTTCATATTGGTTATTGTTGCAGGAAGTGTCAGGTAAGCCTCGAAATAAAAACTTTATTGCTAAGTATCAGCAAAAATGAATTAAGTGATGCCTCGCGCTTAGTCATGTGCAAAACATAGATAATGCGATTCATGTTATCTACGCCAAAAGTTATGTAATGCAGTAAATGCGATAAGTTCAAGCTATTTAAAAGTTACATAAGTTTCGCTAGTTGCATATACTTTGTAAACTATTATGAACAATGTTACGAAATTTCGGTCACTACTGATAAATGAATAATTAAAATTGAACTCGATTGTTCTTTTGTTCCGACGAATTAACGATGAGAGAGGAATTTTTAGCTTTGGGGCCTTCCGAAAGAGTTTTCATCTTGCTCAATGGAGGAGGGAAGGAGGAGCAACCTCGCCACCCGGGGGTGCTGTGCGTTCTTCCCAGGGGAGGTGTGGGAAGACTGCGCCTGCGAGGCAGAACGTGCTAGTGCTCCTCACCCCTGCCTCCTTCCCGTGCATCTTCTTCCTGTCCCTGTTGTCGGCTCTGCCCGGCGGTCAGGGCCGCGCCGCCGCACAAAACACTGCTGTTCCGGGGACGGTGGACGGACGTCCGTCACCTCCCCTCCCCTCCCCTCCCCTCTCCCTCCCTATCCTCCCCGCCGCGGCCCAGTCGGCGTCTCTGTGTGTGTTGCACACAACTGCTGACACGGCGTATCGCACTCCTAGCCGTCCCCACCTGGCCTCAGGTGCCTCGACCACCGCCGCCGGGGACGATCGTCCTCTTCCGGGGTACCGACACCAGTTCCGCGTGCTTTGTGTCTGTGTGCCTGCTTCTTTGGCCGTGGGTGGGACCCGGGTGCGGGACTGCAGCCACCGAGTCTTTGTTCAGACCCACAGGGAAGAGGCGCAGATTTATTTCCCTGTCTGCGGCTGCATAAATGACTTTTTGTTGCGGTATTGTGTTGATGGGTGTTGTATACATTTGTCTATCGTGTTAGCTGGGCTGCAGTTCATGATAAGTGTGAGTCAACTCTGATCTGATATGATGTGCCGTTAGGATCAGTTTTCTAACGCTAGTGGCTTTCGTATCTGTAGATATAATTAATGTGCTGCATATTTTCCCCGATGCATGTTTTCCTTCTCCCATTTAAATGTCTGTTTAGTCTGTGCTTCTGATACTGGGACGTCATTTCAGTGGTTTTGATTAATCCTTAGAACTGAATCATTTGCTCAGTGCTGCTCCGCGTTTTCCTTCCGTTTCACCTTCTTCGGCCAGCTATTTGACATTTACAATAAACGGAAATGCATGGACAGCAATTAGTGTTATTCTATTCTCGCCCGTATCTTATTCCGTAGGCCTGATGGACATAACCTCGAACAAGATTAACCGACTAACCTTTAACTGACGTTTGACGTAATGACAACCGCCTGAAATCCGTGTTTTCTGTCTAGGTACGAATTGCATTTTGGTCCAATGTCGATTAACTACGAAACATAATCCTGAGGAAGGCATATGTTACATGCATTACATGCATCACACACATTTACATATAGATGTGTTATTTCATGCACTGTTATATTTTGAAGTAGCCTCTACGCCAGCGAATGACAGCGCAGTGACACGGTCTGTAGATTATACTTTTCAGGTAAGAAATCAGAATAGCCTTGTGGTGTATTCAGCGATAGTAGGGGAGAGTGGGGAAAGATGCCCAGGGTTTTACTATGTCATATGTTATACGAAAATGACGATCGGAAAGCAAAAACTTGGAGTTTCAACGGAAGCCGACATCATTTTTCTCCAAAAATATCACACTTTCGTGCCTGAAATATGATAACTTTTTTTTGCTATTAAGCATTTTCCCGAAGAAGTGAAAGGGGGCATCTTACCCCACAGGGTGGGAAAGACGCCCCCTGGCGTTGGGAAAGATGCCCCCTGCACTATAAGTGACATAAATGGGCACGTGAATCGCCTGAATGAATCAGTAGTCCCTTCGAGCCTGCAGTAGACACCAAACGTCATCGCAAGGGCCCTCAAAAGTAGTCGTAAGGGGCTTCAGAGGTCATCGTTAGGGCCATCATAGTCCAGCGCGGCCAAACAAGCCTTCGTGGTGGCGTTCGGAGACCACTGTGAGGCCCTTATAGGTCTTCATGATGCTTGAGGGCCCTTGAGCCCATCGTGGGGACCTCAGATGCCAGCGCGGCCCGTGGAGCCAACGTGGGAGCCCTCAAAGGATGTCGTGAGGGGCCCTGGAGCCAACAATGGGGCCCACAGAGGCCGTCGTGAGGGCTCTCAGAGTCAGATGCCGTCTAAAAAGTCGCTGTGTGGGCCAAGAGACCGGCAGGGGGAGCACCCGACCGTACTGGACTCTCAATAGTCCCAGATCGGCTTTTGTCCCTCATCACAAGTATGTAATAAATGATTTGACGGGCTGCTTGAAGGACAGCCTACGGAATTAGGGGGGCGTCTTTCCCCATCAGGACAGGGGGCATCTTACCCCAAGGTACCGAAGTAACATTAAATCAGTACAATTTGTTAGCCATAAAACTACACCCTGAAACAAACTGTTTGGGACACAGTACACGCATGTTAATGTATCACGACTATAGCAAGGGACGCAAAAATTATCTACCTTCTTTGATATTTACAATGTTTTGACACCAAAATATTTTTTGAAAGCAGCAAATAAAAAACATGCAATCACCAGCCAGCCGTTGCCCAACTGAGCTTCGCAAATTTGTGTGCAGTTAACAAAGCAGGCTTCCGCTTTACGCTAAGAACATTAATTTCCAGGTTCGATTCTTTGTTTCGCCGTTAGAGGGGGTGGGGCGTCTTTCCCACCCTGGGCATCTTACCCCACTCTCCCCTATATATCAGGTCAGCACGCAGTTCGGTGAAATGTGGGTCAGAGGTCAGCCCTGGTAACAGAGGTCAGAACCAGCCCGAATTGCCTCTGGCGTCACTAACTTGGCCGGCAAAACATGACCTTGTTTGGTCGGCACCGTTGACTTTGGCAGTAATCGCTGCTGTCTGATGCGTCAATGGCCACACGCGAGAATCTTTTTGCCGAAGTTTTTGTGTTTTCTCAGCTAATCCGAAACGAGCGGTCCGTGCCAAACCATTGTGAAATGTGCGGTGCTTGTATGCTTTTAAAAGTAGGCCAGTCACATTTTTGCACTGTCACCATGAGCGGCCTTTTAAAGTGGCTTGACAAATGGTAAGAACGCATATGTAGGCCATCGCAATTTGAAAACAAAATTGAAGGCTAATATCTGCTTTGTTGACAAGACTTGGAAGTGTTGAGCTTAAATGCAGTGTCCGTTTTCCTGATCTTGTAAAAAGGTTATTGATACACGTCAGACTACGACCCGAGGCAAAGCTGATGGATTCAGTACAACTCACGCCATTTTTTTCTGGTCACTCTTGCATTTTTTCTTTTGTTTCCAAGCTTTTGCATGGGTGGTCTATTCAGTGATTGCATCACGCCTAATGCATTGCAGCATGGTTACATCATAACGCGTGCCACAGCGTTCGCCGTACCTCCTCGGCGGGACATCTGACGGTCTCCGTGCCGGTCAATGTCAGGTCAGCGCCGAGGACAGCCCAGCAGACGGGTACCGGGCGGAACCATGGCACTCAACCGGGCCCAAATCCTGCGCCGGAATCCGCGGATTATCGCATATACTGAGTCTGCCGGCCGTGACCCGTTTCGGCGGGCGCACTGCTCTTATCGGTCTTGACCCGGTTGGGTGGGGTGTGCGGAGCGGGGCGCACAAGTCGCTCGGTGTCGGCTATGCCGTTTGCCTGGCTGACGACATCGGCTGTGTCCTGTCCTGTCTCTGTCTCTGTGACCGGGCCGGTTCGCACGACAGTGACCTGGTTTTAAGACTTGGTGGCCCGTTGGACGCTCTTTTCATTCCTGAGGCTTTTCTTGTCCTCATAGTTCCACGTCTTATGGGCTTGTATTTTTCTTTAATCTAATAAGACCTATTTCAGTGTGCTAATAACAATAACTCTTGTCCCTGAGGCTTAACTCGTTTTATTAAACGGTCCATGTGGTCAATGTGACATATTTGGGCCATCGCTTTACCATAATAAAACAGCTTAAAAAAGACTACTTACATGGGCTGATTTGCCGCTGTAACCCAGTTTCGCCATTGGATTCATGTTCCCGAAGAAGCCATTAGTCGATGCCGAATGCCGATGTAACGCAGCTTTCCCAATTATGATGTCTCGCGGAACCGTGCTTTGGCCTTGTGCCACTTCCTATGCCACGGAGGGGATCCTTGATCCTATCTGACCTGTCCAGCGCGCGCAGAAATACCCGAACAGGATGCACGCACCGAATCACGCCAACATTTAGTATGGTTCAGCTGACATTATGTAAGCTGCGTGCAGTGGCCTTGCATTGTCGTTATGTGCGAGTAACTGTATTTACGGAGCTCTGACCCCGAATTTAGATCACGTGATGTATGTATGTAAAAATGGTTGTTATTGTAAGGTATTGTGTTGTATTCGGCTTGAAATGGGCATTCTGGTCAATTTTGTGTGAATGTTATCGCGTGGGCAACAATGTACGCCTTGTCGGAATACATATGAATACCTATCAAGCAGAGTAATATCACTCGTTCTAGTCACGTCATCTGTTGTATTTTGTCCTGTGCTTTGTCAAGTCATCTCCTTCCCTCCCGGGTCCCAACTCTGACCGTACATCGTGACCGTACACCGTGTACCGTGTACACACCTAACTCAGCCTTACCCTGCACTTTCCTTTCTCCGACTTTGTCTCTGTTCGTTCCTTTGTTCTCTATCCTACCCTGCTCTGCCCTGTTCTTCCCTTCTTTTCCCATTTTGCATGGTGTCATCCACCCAGCCCTCCCCTGCTCTGACCTGACTGTGTCCCTTTTTCTACCCCATCAGGCGATGCCTTCCCCGCCCTGCTATGAACTGACCGTGCCCCTCTACCCCCCACCAGGCAATGCACGCCCGGTGGCAGAAGCTGGCGGAGATGCAGCAGCAGCGGATTGCCCAGCTGGAGGAGCAACAGCGACAGAGGGAGGCGGAGAACAGTCGTCTGCCGCCTCTGCTGCCGCAGCCGCCCGTGCCCAGTGAGTACCGGCCCGTGGCGATCGCATTTAGTTCCGCGCCGTGCCGTCAGGCACCGTTATAGTTTACCACCGATGCGTCAGCAAATAAGTGCGCATTTCAAGCTGTTTTTACATTTATGGACGTCAGCTGTGTGTCCGTTTGTAATGCGCATTTATTTTGCTCGTGTCTGTGAGCTAATTATCCGGTTTTGGGAGTAGCATTCACTGCTTTTGCATGCCGTTCAACAAACAGTCGCCAATCCACGTGCCGTTGCTGATCAGTGTCGTGCATCCACAAGTTACGTAACGTAACCAGCGCATCCCGTTCCGCTCACAAATTACGTGATCGGCTGCATAACACGTGCACACTGCTCAGTGCACACTGCACACGCAAGGATGTAAGTGAGCGCAAATTGCGTTGGTGGGCTGGATCCCAGAAGTGATTGAACTCTTGCACTTGATCTGCCGCACTGGAGGAAAGAAGGACGGCGATAGGAAAAACGGTAAAACCTTGTGAAATAAAATTAAAGAAAAGTAGCGGTGATAGAAGGAAAAGATGAAATCTGGTAGGTCTGAACGTCTGGTGGGGAGTAAGATGGAATCTAGCGCATGCCATCGACCATCCACCTAGTTCAGGGACCGATTCGCGTTGGCGCACTAAGGCCCTAGTGACACTTGATTTCAAGCGTCACTATGCGATTTCGGTTCGCGCTGAGCCACTAGCCGATTGGTGTAAAATACCGCTTAGTGTCACTACATTCAAGTGTCACTTGGCCGCCTAGTCCTACTAGCTTCCTAGTGCGCCATCTCGAATCGGCCCCAGATCTTGCCACTCTAAGCTCCATTATCCATTGATCCCTTGTTAGGTCACTTCCCACAAAAAACATCAAAAACATTTCGGTGGCGCGGGTGGCGCAGTGGTTGTTTGTTTCAGGCCCGTGTCTCCACACTTTAGGAAGTGATGTAGAGCCTGACTCTTTTCTGTGGCATTGCCTGCCCCCCCCCCCCCCCCCCCGGTATCCGTAGGGACTGCAGGTAACCCTGGCCGGTGGTTGCCCTGGCAGAGACCGGCGTATATCGCAGCTCCGTGCGGAATTCGCCCCAGCGATATGCCACCCTTTCACCCTGCCCATGCTGCCCAACCGCCCTGCCAAATTAGAAGAAGTCTTAGAAGTCCTAAAAGTCTTGAAGTCCGACTGATCGTTCAATAATATCTTGTGTTTTCTGGAAGCCGCGCGGTGCATTCTGTTTTGCGCAGACCGGGACAGACGCAGTACCTTAATGAGAAGTTGTGCGAAGATGAGCCAAAAGGAGCTCATTGGCTGCGTTGTTTTGTGTTGCACTCGAGCTGTGCAAACTGAGAAGCATACGCTGCCGGCTGATAAATGTTTTTCAGTCATTAGTGTGATTGCGGTGGCGACACCAACACCATCCGCTAGAAACGCAGGCATCATTACGCTTGGTGAACAAATAATGGGATACCCAAAGCTGGGTTAGCGGCGCATTTCCTTTTGTTGTGGGTGATGTGACTAGAACTATCTGGTAGATGCCTACCAATGTTGTCATTCCATCGCAATACTCTCCAGGTATTCTCCAGAACGATGGCCATGTTTCCGGCGTAGTTTAGTTGAAGTTGCCGTTGGGGTAGTTTAGTTTGCCGTTGGAGAGAGGCATGTCGACGGAGATGAAGACTTGCGTTTTTTTTTTCGTAGCAATAGGTAGGTACTCCCACAAGGCGGCAGATTTCTGAACTATGATTACCATATTTACGGTAGATTTCTTTAAAGGTAGTGTGCCAGCTTTCTTGGACCGTATGGAGTTAATGGCCCAGATAAGGAGAACCGGATTTTTAGAACTTATCCATACCTTCAAAACTCATGGAAACGTCTTAAATTCTTCAAATTTTGAGTACCCCAGTGCGAAATTCGCCCCGACGGGTTGTCGGTCGTACCCCAACCACATTTCACACCACTATGAACAATAAATGCACACACTGAAATCGCTATTACCGATATGCTCATCCAATCAAGTTTCGATAAACCCGTTCATCATCATCTCCTGCGGTTTCGAACACGCCTGTTAGGTGGCTTCTGATGCTCGTCGAGGTCGGAATTTCCAAATACGCGTGGTGCGTCGGGCCGCGCGCTCTGACTTCGGCCAAGAAAAATGCGTCAGCTGATCATTGTCATTTCTGCCACTTGCGTGTGGTGAAATGGGGTCATAACTTATAAGACGGCTTTTTCATATCAATTATTTTACATAAAATCATATTTCAAACCATAAATAATGTTCGACAGCCAAATAAAAGAAACAATACCAATACGGGCTTACAGTTTAAGGCTCGACATTGTGTTGTCTACGATTAGACAGCTGATAACTCATTCCCGTACGTCGTATGGTCGTAACACTATAATGACCTTTGCTTATTGTCACAAGTGCGCCGCATTCGCGATTGTTGCCCGACGCCTGTTTGCAGGTGAGCCCACTACAGTTGTTATACATATCTAAAAACCGAAAAACTTTTAGGCGAAAAAGGCACTATTCCAGGCCCATTTTTGATTTTTTTTGCGATATTAGGTAAAAACAGAAGCTTCTTATCCTAGGAAAAATAAAATGGGAAATCTTTCAAAGGTGGCACACTACCTTTAACTCTGGCACCTGCGGAGGCTTCAGATACAAACACTTCAATCTGCTGCTCGCGGGTGCCTACGAATTCGAGTAACGCCGATCCATCCCAACCAGAAAGTTTTTCGCTGTGCTTTGTTGTCGGTTGACGGTGGCTCCGGCATCTTGTTTGGTCGGAGTGTGGCACATCACAGCCGTATCGCCCGCACGCTCAAGTCAGTTCACCTACGCGCACGCGAGTGTAGAATCCAATCAAAGTCCCACGCAAATGCAGACACGTGGCTGGCAGAGGCTCGTCGCGGTCTCCTACCGTGCTTCCACGCTCGGTGGCGGAGGGGGGGGGGGGGCGGTTGCTAGGCGGAGCGGGGGAGGGAGTGGCACGCGCTCGTCGGAGGTCCGTGCCGCTTTGTCTGCAAACTCAGACAGGTCGAGAGGAGAGAGTGCGAGGGAAGGGAGAAGGAGCACGGCTGATGCAAGATTGAGAGAGGGGACATGACCTGTACTGGATAGAGGGGCTGGGGGAGGGAGTGAAGACCTACAGGTACCAAGTATAGCGCACGGATTCGTCTGGCCTTTTATTCTTCCACATCTCGTAGTTCTGACCTGGCAGATGGCAAGACATCTCATTGCGTCGTTACTTCATCATTCGTCGCATGATTGCGGATCGGTATGTAATTTGGCGCTCGAGAAAGTATTGCGCTGCTACCGAGATCTAATTTGCTGGTAATGACCTTATGCAAGACGGGTTTACATCATACTAGGCTGGAAAAGGTTGATCCTGTAAGTTAAATCACTCGGATGGTGAAGAAGCAGCGTGTTACTAGCATGTTTGCAAGCGTCAGTAACTGGTACAAATAAACACTAGGGCATTTAAACACAAACATCATGAGTAGAGTAGATGAGCGAGGTTAACCTCTCTGGACAACATGGGCGATTTGGCCAATGAAATATTAAATGAAAATGTCTGTCTGAAGGCTGAGGCTGTGGTTGTTGATTGCGCGGTTCAAAATAGTAATCGACTGAAGAAAAGCAGTAGATTGAATGAATTGTTATTTAATTGTAACTGAATACATCCTTGTGTTTTGGAACCGTAGCGCCAGTAACAAAGAATCCGCTAGCTCCATTTTCAATACTGCCCTGTTCTTTTATTGCCGGTCATTATAAGCTTATCATCTTTCCATTACAATCACAGCCCGTTCGGAGAGCTAAGGTCTTGGTATCTGACACCATTCAGAATACCACGGCGCCTTTGTGCAGGAAATAATACCATTGTGCCGATAAATTAGGTCGATTGGCGTTTTTCGCTCTCTCTTCTGCTGCCAATCTGACGACATTGACGCCGCGTCCTATCCAGGAGTGGGCATCGATTACAGATTCACCTGGCTGACTTCCGATCAAATGTCCTCTCCTTGTCTCGGTCTGTCTCTGTCTACCGACTCTGTTTTTGTCTAATTATGAACGAGAGAAAGACGGAAAGATAACCTTCTCGGTTAGATCAGACGTGGAGTTGGTCAATGAAACCCGCTCACCTCTGGTATGGGCGGGCACATAGTTCCCCAAACTCACAGTAGCACTTTCTTAGGATCGCAGTCCTTACATTCCCCTCTGCTCGTTATGCTTCGCTGGCTCAGTTTATAGACCACATCTCCGTCTGTGTCCATCCCTTTCGTGAGCCGGCTCGTTCCAAGGACATAACTCATCGCTTCAGTGACCGTGACAATCAGCGCATAGCAGCACCGTATCGAAGTGAGGGGTCGGACGACCAGTCATCCTTCCCTCCCACTTCTGGTCCACCAATTGTCTCGTCTCTGACCGCTATCTCCATGCAGCCCTTCCCCCGTCCGGCACTATCTTGGCTGAAGCTACCGTTCCGTGTCACGCGCGGTCGCCACCTGGACCGTTACATCACGCTTACTGCCTCTGCTGAGAGAGTGACGCAACGCGCCGGCCGCTCTGACGTCATCTCGGACGGTCGGTGACGTCACGGCGCGGCGCCGGGTCGGCCCGGGTCACGGTTGGGTTGGAGTGTGACGATGGGATGCGGGGTGTCTTCACAGACTGATGCCGGGTGGGTGTTTCGCAGCGACGGAGAAAGTGCCTGGGGTGATAGCATCCCCCGTCTACCTCCCGCTGTTGGCTGTCCGTCTACCCATTGGAGGAAGGCGTGACGGTAGATACAGATCGGCGCGACACGTCACCGCCGGCGGGTCCCGGTGCCGTGACGGGGTGAGGTGGGGCCGGACTGGATCGCCGACGGAGCCATGGCGACCGGCAACGGAGGGGCTCTCCAGCGAGATATGACAGCCATGTGATTAGTAGGACGTAATTTTTTAGTCTTTTTATCTTTGCATGCGCTCTCTGCCCGTTTCTGAAGCGCGAGCAGACCTGTCTCAGTA